TGTTGAGATATGCTGTTATTTGAATTTGTTCTATTTTGCTGTCAATTTTTGGATTTCGGTACCCAGACAACTGCACCGTATGTTATATAGCATAGGTCTTATGATGGCTATGTAAGTCCATGTGACGACTCTGGGGGAGAAACCCCAGGTGCGCCCCACGGTTTAGTGGCATTCACATACTTTGATTACTATACGAGGCAAGAGAGAGGTCCGACACGCCCAACATAGGGCGCGGCCATTTTGAACCCTGTGATACAGTTTACAGCTAAAGAATCAGATCGCTCACTCTGCGTCGGCACTTTTGATCTCAATGTTTCAGTTTATACACTTTGCAACTCGGATAATACAATATATGAACCGTCTATAATAAAACAGCAGTCTTCTGCGTATCCTGAATTTGTATCCCAGGGGGTCGATTCTCGACTCGTAGGAATATTTTCCTATAGGAATTTTTGACATTTTTATATACATCGAAAATTTATGACAGTTTCCTACATATAGGAAAGTGTCACAAATTCCTATAGGAAAAGGTTCCTACAAGTCGAGAATCGACCCCCTGGAGTGGATGTTATTTTGGAACTTTCAACTGGTCCGAGTGAGCTAACTGATTCTTTAGCAATAAACTGTGACTTCAAAAATAATATTCACTGACACTGACAGCAGCAAGCAAAATATCAGGTGCGTTTTAATCATCCGCTTCTGCTTCCGGAATTGTCGGTTTAGTTGTTTTAACCTGTCAGATTAAAACAAGAAAACCGACAATTCCGAAGCAGAAGCGGATGATTAAAACGCACCTATTAAAAATATTGCGCCAAGATGTAGGCAACACGTAATAAGGTTTCAAAATGGCGGAGTTTTCTATCTCCTTTTAAAAGGCACTCAGAAAGCTGTGCAGTGCGACCATTCTCCGTATAGTAAAAGAAAATCAAAGTATGTGGTGGTATTATTCATACGTAATGTATGCCATTTTGACTATGTTTTCTAACTGTGAGTTCTATGTTAACTTGTTGTCAAAGGTGCTACCTTGCAACGAAGGTGAAGTACTTCACCTCTGTTGCAAAGTTTTGTTTTGTGTTTAGGAGTTTTGTAGGTTTTAATTCCATGTTCATCATTTTCCTAGTAAAAAAGATTATTTCTGTCTTCTTGAGATTGATAGACAGTAAATGGTCCTTGCACCACTGTTCCATAATTATTCTATTTGCAGAATGACCAGGTCATCTGCTTTCGCTATTGTGTAGTGACTGTCATTATTGTACCTACAGTACTTATTTCGCTATTAAAATAATGTATTTGACATAATGAACATAGTAAGAATTTTCTGTCTGTCATTGTTACTTAGTATGTGTTTAAATAATTATGAACCAAACGACAAAAACTGATTAACTTTTATACGTTTCCCAGTGTATTAAGTCCCCTTGCTTCGGTACATACGAAAACTCATTCAGTTTCGCTTCTTGGGTAGGTATTCTTTGATCAAAGTATTTTGTCTATATCCCAGGATATAGAATATATTCGTATATTCAGCAAAATATTTTATGGGTATCTTTAGTAGAGGTTCATAAGTAACCAATGATTATTGAATAACGTCGAAAGAAAATAGCAGAGATAAAAAATATTTTCAACACTCAAAATATTTTCAACACTCTGCCTTTGATTTTGCCCCGCTAAGGAGGAAGTCATCCTTATTAGGACTCTTCAGCAATAAATGAAAATTCTCGACTCCAGTCTCTAATGGAGTGATTAGGACATACATTTCGATAGAACTCAATTACGGCGGGTCGAGCATGAGTAGATGCGATAGTGGTATCGCCATCTATACTTAGTAAGCAGAATCAAATAACATCTAGTGGATATCCACGATGGTTTGCGTTCGCGCCTAGACTTTGATATATTTAGTGGATGTTCATGGGATATTGAATACACCTTAAAAAAATTAATTTTAAATATCTGAACGGTACTATTAGCCACAATGGCGAGCACAATGGCGTATTATTTATGGACATTTGCATGTCTCTAAATTACATTTCATGGATATAAAATAGATATCTACCATGGACTGGACATTCAGTGGATATTGGGATGTTCAGTAGATATCCAAAGGATTTGGTGTGCTGTCTGGGATGATTCCGGCCAAATGGTGAAAGAGTACTCTCCTACTCGCATAGTTACAAGAATACGGCCCCAGGTAGAAAAAAGGGACCAACAATATTATTGCCCATATATTCTACTTTTCTGGACACTGTGAATGCGTTCTCATAGTTACAAGAATAGGGCCTCTGAGTTTGAGAATAGGGTACACATAGGGACCGTGCGTCATGACTTTAACGCTAACTGGTGACAAAAATGTGAACTTTATGGGGGGTATTTATTAATGTTTTATACGGCATTTATTGTTTAATAATTATTAATTAAATAAAGTCGAATTATTTTCGTAATATCATTATCGAAAAAACTTGTTGCATCTGTGGATGTACAAACACATCACTTTGGAATCCTGGATTTCATTCGATAGTAAAGAAATTTTATAAATTTCCACAGAGCACAACAATTAATGTCTCACACCCAATGATATACATAATTACAAAGATTGCTTATCCATATGTAAATCAGACGACGAAAAGCGTATTTCACTGGGCAAAGTTTTCTTTTTATCTAGCTTCTAGCTTGTATCAATTTTGAGCACTTAGTTGTAAAGAAATCATTTACAGAACCGGTTTAGAAATTAGAATCTTTAGTATTTTCTTGTCATTAAGATTTTTAAATATTTAAATGAACATTTTGTATAAATATAATTTTACAGAAAATTAATGGTTTATTCTGTTGATTAAAACTAATGTAGAATGTTTATTATTAAATAAGAATGTCCAATTTGACAAAAATATCATGGCCCTCTTTACAATTTATTAACTATTTCTCATTTATTATTAAAATAAACAAATCATAAATAATACATTGCAATTACTGTTAAAAGAGATTGCAACAAACTTTAAAATATTAAAAATCCAGTGATTTTTTGTAAATTTTTTTAATGACATTACTCTATTAAAAATTTTTCAGAATAATAGATAAGTGTCCAATTACAACTCTTACCAAAGTTGTTTATACCTCATCTTAAAGTTGTTTACATTACCTTTTCAAAATTGTATTACATATTGCAATTATGTATTTTATCTAGTATTATTTCTGAAATGAGAGTAGTCTAATAGTTATTTATGCAACAAGTGCAAAAAGTAAGTGTTTATTGCACGCGTTTATTGTCCAACGAGGCCGTCAGGCCGATGTGGACAACACGTCGAGTGCAATAAACACTTTTTGCACGAGTTGCATACAATAATTTTCTACGTTCATGCAAAAACCAAAAAATGTTTTATAGGACTGCAGTTGTATTATCCAAATCATAGTTCGTGTACCTTTGTTTGAGGCATTTATTTACGTTTGTGCTCATAATTTGTAATGACATTTTTAATAAAATTAATTTTTTTATTAATTTATTTATTAAATGATCGAAAATACAAAAAGTGTCTAGGTACACGCTAACTTGTACGCAATTCAAAAATTTGTATACACGCGAAACGTCTTGACAGAGTAAGTGAGCTGTGTGCAGGCCGTTGGTGTTTACGCCGGTCGTAGCTAGGTATGGATTGAAATTTTTTTGTGGCGGCGAAGCCGCCACCCTACGAGAGGTCGCTTTCTTGTTGTCACGGCATTATTTATTATTTGTTCATGCATGTGAAATTTGCTTCTAAGTTTTATAAAATACTACTGTGCTAGTCACGGCGTAAATGAAAACAAACAAGGCGCATTCACACAAACACCTCCCACCACAGCAATTTGACGTTTCGCGTGTATATAATTTTTTGATTTGTGTACACTTAAGCGTGTACCTAGCAACAGCGTTGAAAATAATATAAAATATGCAGTTGTTTTTAAAACGTAACACAGAAAATGAAAATGGACTAAATACTTGGCGTTGATTTGAATATTTATGTTTGTCATGATCATAAAACGCTGTAGTAAAATGACAGATGAGTGCAATAAAATTTTTGTTGCACTAGTGCAATAAAGACCCAGTTTTTTTCACTAAATATAGTTCAATAAAGTTTTGTTTTTTGCATGAACGTAGAAAAAATTATTTATATCCATCTGTTATAAAAATTGTTTAGATCTCTTAATATTATTTAACTACATGGAAACTCAACTTTCCAAATACATAATAACATGTCTTGAAGTAAAACTTTAATTATTTTCTTTTTCTTAAGATTAAAATGCTAAAATTTTATTTTAAAACACATTTGGGCTAGAACGGCTCTATTTAGTGAGCACTAGGAAAGGCACATTGCAACCCGCTTTTCATATTTTTTTTTATAGATGGGTGAGCAATCTATAATATCTATCATTGGACATCTCATAAACGTCAGTGGATGAATAACATTTCAACTAACATAAAGCTAAAAAGATTTATTATTATCAATCTTTTTTATTAATTTACATTTTTTAAATGTTATTGTAATACTTTTAAATTCAGTGTTACTAAATACCGATATTTTGACATTGGATACACTTGTTTAAGGTACAACTTTACAATTTATTGTCACTTAGCCATTTAAATCTTTTTGCTTAAAATGTATATACATGTCTAGATTTTAATAATGTTTCACATTTTACGTCATTTTGACCATGTACACAATTGTTTGGTATGGGCCGGTATCTATTTTTAACTATATTTAATATTTTAAAAAATATCGTTTATTATTTACTTGCAATGTTTACCCCATTTAATTCTAAAATTAAACACTATAGAGAGGGCTAACTTCGGCAGTAGTGCTGCCTCTATATTTCACGCACGGTCCCTATGGGGTACACCAACCCTGTTTAATATTGACTTTTGACTTTGACATTTCCTATTGAGTGACGTACACGCTAGAGTGCGTTTAGAAACCCCGCACGGCGCGTCTCACCACATACATTAGAATAGGGCCCAGACGCGCCGTGCGTGGTTTCTAAACGCACTCCTAGATAAACAGATGATAAAAACAAAATGAGCATACTCGAAGTAAAATCAGCAATACTGAATTTTATTAAATAATCCAATGTACAAAACCAGTCCAAATTACATTAATCTAAAATGCAGCATCAATATTGGGTTACTAAAAAGAGCGTGCTGAGAAAATTAGGAGGCAAAGAAGACGAATGTATTATTTCATCGGATGCCGAATTGGACGCAAAATTAGAGCTGTTTAAATCAATTAACGATAACTGTAATCAACTTCAACGAGTTATCGATTTGTATCAAGAACGGTTGTGTTATTTAGCTCAAGAGGAAAATGTTTTGGGAAGGTATTTACGGGACTGCGGAAAAAATGAAAAAAATGCGTCGGCGGGACAGATAATGTCCACTGCTGGAAAAGCCCTGGCTTATACGGGACACCAGAGGCTAACCGTGAGGCCTTCTTTAGTTAGATTGCACCATGAGTTAGAAACGTTCAGAAATAGGGCTATAACTGATACAAGAGCGACAATTTCAGAGATGGAAAAAGTAAGGACTGAATATAGGTAAGAAATACTTTTTTATGATTGCTGTACAGAGTTTACATTTTTATCACAGATAGGTAATTGCATTGAAAATATTTTTTTCTAAACCCACATGGATTTACCTATCTAAACTCTATTCAACTTAAACGCAAGTAACACAAACACAATAGCTCCTTAACAGCACATAGAGGGTAGAGAAACATCCAAACCAGGATCAATGTGCTGGCCAATAGCAGTTGGGCTTGTGCATATCATGCTGTGGTCAAGGGGCTATTGTGTTTACGCATTACTTGCATTTAAATTGAATAGAGTATAGTCTAAATAAAAGAGCAGTGCAGTAAAAGTGAGGATATAATCTCACATTCCATAGGCATATTTTGCAAAAGAAGTTTCTGTATTATAAAATAAGATCACATCATATAAAATGGTATATAGGGTCTTGGCACTACTTATGGCCATTTGTTGCTTCGAGATCTAAAAATAAGCATTATTTGTCAACATTGTAAATTAAGTGGTGCTTATAGGGTGTAAATGAGCATGTGGTAATATGATTGAACAGGTTTGCAACTAATAAACTAAGGCCACTGTAAATCAGTAAAATACATAGTTAACATGTGCAATATATGCAAGCATTACTTGTTGTTTTGGCTAACAATTTATCTGCACACATCAGGACCCCAATTCTCGAGCTGTGTGAGTTGTTCACTTGTTGGATAATTCACATGAAATTTGCACAAATCGTATTCTTGACAAATTGACAAGTTTTCACTTTAAATGAAAGATTGTGTGATAAGTTGACATGGGTTTTATCATGTGGATGTTGGATATTTCATATGAAACCCATCTTTTAAGGCTCCGTGAGTTCTAGTAGAAACTCAGGTTGCTCTGAGTTCACTAGATTGTAGAATGTGGTAAGATCCTTGTGCATGCATCTAATCTGAAGAGTGGTAATATTAAGGGAATCCTCAATATTTGAGTAACTATAATAATAATAATAATAGTTTATTTGTCCTTTAGGATCATGTTACATGCTTGGTTACATGATATAGGATAAGTCATAATATATATGAATAAAAAATATTAAAGTACAAATAAATATAGGTACTTACAGTATACAAAAAAAAAAATATATATCTAAGACATGCACATTAAAAATATACAATTTGAAAAACATTTACCTTAAAATATGGTGGTATTCAGATAAATTATAAAAACATGAATCTACTAAATAGTTTTTAAGTTTTCTTTTAAAAGGTTCATATTTCTTTTCAGATTTAATGATTAAAAAATTTAATTCCAACAAATTCAGGCGATTTCTCAAATAATGCTGTTGAATGTCTTGGTGTTCTGAATAAATTTGCATTCCTAGTTACGTACCTATTCATGGTAATTTGAATTTTGTAAAAATTGGTGTATGTTGCGTTTAGCATATAGCAACGTTTTATAAATGTAAATACAGGGAAATGTTAATATTTTAAATTTTTTGAAGTTATATTTACAAGTTTGCATTAATTCTAGATTCAAAATAAGCCAGATTATTCTTTTCTGTAAGATAAATACTTTAGATGCATTGACTGCATCACCCCAAAGAATAATGTTGTATGATATATGAGAATATGCTAAAGCATAGTAGACATTAAGCAGTTGCTCTTGGGTAAAAATTGATTTTAATTAATTAATTAGTATTGCATAGTATGCGCTGTTTAATTTTTTAGAAACATTAGATATTTGGCTATCCCAACCCATATTGCTATCAATATGTATGCCCAAAAATTTTGTAACATCTGAGAGCATAATTTCTGCATTATTGACATTTATTTTACAATTCTGGGTAATTTGATTTCTGGAGTAGAACTGAAGGCAAACGGTTTTGTTTGAATTAACAATTAAATAATTTCTATAACACCATGATGTAAACTCATTAGATAAAACATTTAATTTTCTAATTATTTCATCTACTGATTGTGCGTTGGTGGCAATTGTTGTGTCATCTGCATATACAATTATGTTTTCTGAGTTAATATAATTAGACATATCATTTATGTAGCATAGAAAAATTAGAGGTCCTAAAATTGATCCCTGAGGCACACCCATATCAACACTTTCTAGTTCAGATTTACAATTTCCGACTTTGACATAGATCTGTCTGTTATTTATATAAGATGACAACCAAGACAAAAGTTACCTCTAAAACCAAGCCATTCCAATTTTTGAATAGCGACATCTAAGTTGATTGAATCAAACGCCTTTGACAAATCAAAGAAAAGCGCACCCACAAACAACTTTTGATCGATAGAAGTATGTATGAAATTAAAAAGATCTATTGCTGCACTTTCAGTAGATTTTTCTGGAAGGAATCCATTTTGATTTTTGCATATTATTTCATATTTTTTAAGAAATATATATTAGCATTTTTTGTGGACACACTTTTCAAAGATTTTGCTTAAGATTATAGGCACTGTAATAGGTCTATAATTATCAATTAAATTATTATCACCTTTTTTAAAGATAGGGAGTTACATATCCTACTTTCAGATAATCTGGGAAAATACCTAGCTGAATATACTGATTGATTAAGTCTGCTAGAATTTGAGAGATGTGATGACTAATACGTTTTATTATCTTTGTGGAAATGCAGTCAATGACCATAGAGTTAACATTTTTTAAATGAGTGAATAACTTCAATTACATCACGATGATCAACAGGTGAGAAGTAAAAGGCCTGTAGTGCTTTTTTTCTGGAGGTGGGAAAATGCTCTGCAAAAAATTTGGCTATTTGTTTTGGTTCAATAATTGACAGTCCTCCTACTTCAATTTGTTTAATTTGAGAACCTTTTGATGTTTTACCATCTTGGTGATTTACTTGTTTCCATATATATTTTTGTTTTTACTGAAAAGTTTTATTGTGCAATCCCTTTTGAAAATGAGATCTTTTATATTATTGACATATTGTCTCTTTGCTTCTTTGTATCTAATATGTATATTCACATCATTAGAATTTCTTACTAACCAAAATAAATTCCTTATATCAGCTCCCATCCTCAAAATATCTGGAGTTATCCAGTTATTATTTTTATTTGTCTTTACAGCTCTTGTGACAACCGGACAATTTACTTCTATATAGTAATTTAGAATATTTAAGAATGTTTCATAGGCAAGATTTATGTTATCAAAATACTCATATACAGAATCAAAATTTTCAGAACTTATTTTTTGCTGCAGATTAAGTAAATTCGCCTCTGATAAGTCTCTAAAATGTATTTTTTTCATTGATATCAGTTACATAACATTTTTCCTTCATATAATTTAATGACACGTCAATGGCTAGGTGATCTCCAATACAGAGGTCTACCACGGTTCCCGTATATATGTAGAAAGGTAGTTTGTGAGAAAATAATCAATTTTAGTACGCGACGTTTTACCGTTTTTGTCAGTATAAATTCTAGTTGGTTCTCTATTTAAACCACGCAAGTTAAAACACTCCATCAAATCGACTAATAAAACTTTTTTTCGTGAATCTTTTAAAAAATCAATATCGAAATCTCCACAAATTATGATAAAACTCCATTAAACTGAACAAATTAAAAGATAATAGTTAAGTATAACATTTAATTTGCATTTAAAAAGTATTGATCTATCGATTTATCTTAAATAAGAAGTAAAATTCCTTAAAAGAAATAAATCTTAAAAATTTATGTTGAACTCTTTCAATGGCTTGAATATGAACATTGTAAAAACTTATTTCATGTGAAGTCGAGAATAGGAATGCAAGACAAAATTTCGGATTTATTAAGGATATTTTTGAATATGCAATTTCCAGAGGTAAGTAGATATTAATACCCAATGTATTTTGTTTTCAACATCATATTTTTTTTAATTAGAAATAAATATCAAGGTGGCCATTAGTAATGACTAAAAATTAAGAATTCTTGAGTTATGGCCACCACAGTTATTGTGTGTGTTGAGGGGTAGATAGTAACCAAGTTATTTTGTATTCTTTCTTTAATTTGATGTTAATATGTTGAAGCAGTTTGCACTAACAAAAAGAAGAGGTAATGATTGGGAAGGTGCTGAAACAACATCTCAGTTGTATAAAATATCGCTATCAATTAAAAATTACATTCCTCATACCCAAAACACTACTAATGAAGATGACAAGTATGCAGGACGAGGCGGAATTACATAATGATTCAGAAATTGTTAAAATAAAATCAAAATTTATTCATGCTATTGTTACAGAGTGCAACTAACATATGTCAGATAAAATTAAATCTAGGAATACCAAAGTACAAATATCTAATTATAAATAAATGTATTAAAGCAATATATACACATACCTAGATTAGAAGCAATAGTTTAATGTACACATTACACATTAAAGTCAAAATGGAGGAATTACTCTAAAGAATAAAAACAAACAAATTGGCAAGTTTCTAATTACAGCTGGAAGTCTGTTAAAAAATGTAATAGTCCAATAACCCGAGCCAATAGATAGGCACCAAAGCATTCCTGCCCCTGGTTTCATAATTATGTATGTATGTATCAATATCCTTAAATTCAAGTTCTACTCGAAGATCTCCTGTATATTATACAACTAAAGATGTTCATGGCATCTACATCAGTAGTGCCACAACCCTATGCACTTTGTAGATTAAATTTTGAATGAAAAAGTTATATTTACAAAAAATTAAAATAAACCTTATGCTTCTGACAAAGGGGGTTATGATTGACAACCTGTGTTATTTTTAACAGGTCTGTTATTTTATAAACACACAGAAATAACAACCTGTTCACAAATAACGTGTCTGTTAAAAATAACATTACTTGTCCATCTCATAACCCCCGAAAATTGTTGCACTAACATTAAACGAATTAAATTTAACCAATATATAACAAGGAGGATTATATTTTGTTAATGGGATTAAATTTTTTTTAATCTCTGCATTAAAAGTAATTCTTCAGTAGCTAAAATGAAAGATTAAAGAAATTTACGTGCTGTTATCTAATGATATAAAAAACTCAAAAAGTTTTAATTTATATAAAAATCGAATTAAAAAATGGATTATGGAAACAGAGAGACGATTTTTTACCGATATAGTAAATCAAACTCTACAGTGACAAAAGTAGCCATTTCAAGAATATGTGTCTGCAAGATTATGTGTGTGATATTTTAATTTTAATTTTAACTTACCTCTATTTTGTCCTTATACCCCGAATGTGTCTTAAACTGGATTTGACAATATATTTTTTTTTTCACTGGGTTTGACAAAAACCCTGTTTGTGTCGCCCAAAAAAGGCAAAACAAACTGTATTAAGGTCACAATACAAGTAGTTCTAAAAACTACTTCTGTGGCTTAACTTTGTTTATTCACCATCTACTTAGTATGTATTATTTTAATGAGGTAGTTACTAAGTCTTTTTAATAATATGTTACTTGTATTTATCCTAACTTTTATGTATCTATCCTTATATTTATAATTATTATTGAATTTATGTACTGTACTGAATTGAATAAACATTATTATTATTATTATTATTAAAAAGTTCAAGGACTATCTTTAACAATCACTGTCTTTGTTTTTATGTTGCCGTGGTTGCTATTATGCCTTTAAGGATTTATAAAGACTAATAATATTTTTAGAATGAAGCCGTTTTGAAATATCTTCTTTTTTCCATCTTGTTGTAGGTAGTGACTCCTTTAATCGACTGTGGTAGGATGTATTATCCAAAACAAAAACGAAGTTGGCTGGCATTTTTGTTATAATGTTCTAAAAACCAATTTTCCAACATGGGGCCATCCATTTCTTCATGGTAGTCTTTTGTTTTCTTTGACTCAAACATTAATAAACCATCTGGCAAAATCCATCAGTGCTTCCAATGTAGGTTATTATTAATCGATTTCCTTTTCCTGTTGGATTTTTTAATTCACAAGAGACCCCTTCCATAAAGGCTTGTTTTTTAATCCATGTTTCATCTAAATAAAATACATGTTTGTGCCGATTCCTTGCGTCCACTATTTTCCTTAAATAATCATGTCTCCACGCAATGATTTCGTCTTTCGCTGTTAAGAAGCTGTTCTGTCGCGTTTTTTGTAACGAAAATGTAATTCATGTAATATTTTTTGCAGATGAAAATATGATATATTTGGAAGAGGGGGTTATTTTCTATTTCTGAGTGTAATTTTTTAAATATAGGAATTTCATTTCGAAAGAAAAATGAATGTACTATTTGCCTTATTACATTCTTCACCCAAGTTTCAATAAAGGTTTTGTTTCTTCATGGTGGCTTTTTCGGATGTCAGACTTCTCCAATAACTGTATCTTCTCTAATAAAGTTATACACTGTTCTCTTAGATACTCCAGTATAAGTCTCACATTTAGTGACTATTTTACAGAAAGTGAAACTAAAGTATTTTCGAAGATTATTAAATACATTAAGTAGGATATTTTTTTCTTCTAAAGATAATGCTTTATGTCCTCTACGTCGTTTATGCATGCTTGTGCTTGCAATATTTTTTAATGCACTCGCCATTCCTATATACCTGTAAAATTATAATATATACTAATACAAAATGTCGAATCAATTAAACTACATACGATACATACGGCTATGAATAAATCAAGTCTGACTTATCTGTCAAAAGAAAAAGTTAATTACAGTAAAAACCATGCAAACATGTTTAAATCTAAACTAAAACTTTTATTAGGCTGATCAGAGTATTAAAATTTTCATTTTAACTACAAATAAGCATTAAAGGATGAGGTATAAATAAAATTATTACCTCTTAAACCTGTACTAGGTTCTGCAAATTAAATTACTGCTACTACTTGAAATCCACCAATCACAGTTCAATTTGATGAACAGGCACTATTTATTATTTTTTTAATTTTGAATAAGTGACAATTCGGTCAAACTAATTGTCAGTACAGTTCATCAAATTTCTAGAGGTGTTCGACGCCCAGACAGAGAACGCGCTACGTGTGACTAAGATAGCTATTGTACAGTCTGCTAAACAAGTTATTTTAAATAGTTTTTAATATTTTTAGGTAATTAAATTTTAAAAGTGTGGAATAGTTTAGGGATTAAATTGGTCTGATTGGACTTTCTTAGAACGTTTTTAAAAGCAGCTAAAGATAGTATGTAGAATTGAAAATAATTATGCCATAAAAGGTGTTTTGGAATTCCTTCAACCTTTTGAAATTGAGTCAGAAAATATAAATTTTATAGGATAGCGGAAAATACCTATAATTTTTTTGTAGGCCTTTGTAAATCGTGGAAATAGTTTATATTTTATTTCTACCTTATTAAGGAAAATGGTACCTATTATTAATAACGGTTGTTTCTGAAACATTACTAAAATTTTCGAAATTTTGTTTTTCTACAAAATAATAAACTATACTATTTAGAAAAAAATTTATTTCTCTTATAATTTTATAAAAAATAACAGGGGAATATTTACATTTCTTGATCTATTAAACAAAACGATAAATTATCTCGACGAATGACACCATGTTCTAGTACGGAAGCTAGCTTTACATTTTTGTTGGTGGTTTCATGGGTTTCATATCAATTTTTTGTAATTGTAGTTTACACGTACATATACCTCTTAACACTTGTTTGCTTTATTAAAAAAGTGTGTTGTTGTGATTTACGTCGAAATAAGTCAAAAACAACTTGAAACCCCATATAAAATCAAAAAGGAGAAACGGAAAAAAATTGAGCCTGTAAATGAACACAACTAAAAAACAAAAATAGCTATCTAATAATAAAAAAATAAAATTTGATTCTTGTGCAGCTTCATCTATATCATTAACTGTTTTTGGTTTTTTAATGGTTTTTCTTGGTGATGAAAATTCCGATATTTCACGGTTATCGATTCTTTTTTTCTCTCCAGAAATGCGGACGACAGTGTTTTTAGATACTCCTGTGGCTGCAGCAACACGATCATTTACATTTTTAAATGGTATTGAAGGTGAATTAAAGTTTCCTTTTCTTCTCATAAACTCTAGAATATTGGCTATTATTTCGCGAGATTGACTGTTAATCACGCGGCCTCTTAATTTGCTATTAAACTCCATACTTAGGTTCTATTAAACTGTAATGAGCAAAAAACACAAACGAAAATAAAAGAAATGTTTTAGCGAAATTTACATCTGACATTTACGTCTGAATGAAATAGTGAAATACTTGATGCGCAGAGTGTACTTTCATTGCGTAAATCCGTCGGGATGCCTGTCAGTAGTGCTTTCTCTGTCTAGCCGTCGAAAGCCTCTAGAAATTTGATGAACTGTATATTTTTTAGTTATTGAGATTAAATATAATAATGAAAAGTTAGTGATTCTTTTGAAGAATCAATAAATAATAACATTAGAAAGACGCTCATCTATACTTATATGGTAGGATTCTGGGAAATGTCCTATAAGCTACAGATTTTGGCTTACAGATCTTATAGATTGTCTCAAAATCGACACATTGCAAATAAATCTTAAATTTTAATAAAAGTTTCTAAAACCAACTTAATGAGTATTAAAAAACAAAAATTAGTTGTCTCATTAACGCAGAGGTAGAGTACTAACTTGTCATGCGAAAGTTCTGGGGTTCATATCCAGAAGTGTTAAGGATTTGAGAAAATATAACCTAAATCATTTGAATTTCACTAATCACATGCTAATGTACCTCCTTTAGCAGAGCGAATAGATTTAAAATCACGTGACATCGAGCAAAACAAACCAAAATGGAGCAAACTGACCTGGATATATTAAAAGAACAGTATCGAGTAAAAAAAAGCAAAACGAATTACTTTTCAAACGCAGCAATAGTAACGATAGTGTCATTGAAAAACAGCGCCCCATCCTCCAACTCTACTTTTGCTTTCAATTTTCTATGTTTAATGTTGTAGATGTAGATAACTATTTAAAAATGCTTTTGGAATAGAAATGTTATATATGCCATATTAATGATGACGTAATTTGTGTTCTACTAACTGACAGTGACCATAGAGGTTACAGAAGTTCGTCAACATTTTATTTCTATTTTCAAGATTTATTCATTTAAACAATAAAGATAATTTGGTTACATACCTTAAGAAAAAACTAAAAATATTTAAAATTTATTTTCGTAGAGCTGCATTGAGTTGGATGAAGTCCGTTTCTTCGGAATTAGATCCCGATACTGGCCATGGATTGGAAAAATTCAGAAAAGCCCAATCGTACGTTAAGAAAACCAAAGCAAAATTCGATAGACTAACTTTAGCTTGTTTACAAAAAGTTGATTTACTTGCCGCTGCAAGATGTAACATGTTTTCCCATAGCTTAGTACCATACCAAAGTGCAATTGAGAATTTTTCTACCAAATCGGCGGAAACTTTATTAACGGCCGCAGAGAAATTGGATACTGTACAGCCTTCGGACAATTCCATCATTTTGGAATTGCTTTCACCACTTGAGACAGATAAATCGAAAAAGACGTTCTTTAATTCTGATTATACTGATGATCCGCCAGTGGACCGAAAGAAAGACGCTCAAGAATATAAATCTGACCCAAAGTAAGTTGTAATTTAATAATAATAGAACTTTACCACTATATCACTGTTGTACTTTCATATATAAAAATATAAATTGGCGCAGTCAGTGGGTTATATGTTTTTAAATTTTTCAGTAATGAAGAATCTCAACAAAACGACGTCGCAGACCTACTTAATGCCGACTTGTCGGACTTACCTTTGCCAGAACAACCAACGACACCAAATAATTCCTCAAAACCGAGTTCAGAACTTTTAGAATTGAATTGGGGCACAAATTCCGAGTTCCTTGGCGATTTTATGCCCTCCAAGCTTTTGAACGAAGGCTTTTTTAACATTCCAGAATCTACGAAGGAAAATCCACAGGAATTTAGTCAGATCAACGATAAACTCGGCGAAATCGGGGCTTCAAACGAGAAACAGGTGTCTTGGTTGAGTTTGTTTGCAGAGTTGGATCCACTGTCAAATGCAGCAATTGAAAATAGTTCTGCGGACGGTACAGATAGGGCCTAAAGAGTTTTTGTTAGAGAGTTGTCCCGACTTTTAATTTTATTATTTTGGTAACCTTATTTATAGCACTAATAATTGGAGTAAGAACAACAGATTTTCTTTTAGAGGTTATGGTAATTTTTTTAATGAAATATATAAACCATTTCATACAACTTGCCATTGAATGAGGGGCATACAAACATTTATTTTCCATTCGTTTTCTTATGATATGCACTCATGTAAAGTCGATCTTTTTGAGCAATTTGAATGTTTTATTGCATCTTTTTTTTTATTCATTATAACTACCTATGATTATATTTTTCTGATATTTGTCAACACCTTGATAGGTAATTTTTCAGTACTGAAGGCTGTCCTAGAACAATGATTACTTTTATTAAAATAATATTTTTTAAGCATCATGATTTAGAGGAAATCAAAGTTTTAGTGTTGTATTTACCTGTTATAAAGTGATTTGAGCAAATTCATACATCTTTTTGCTTAGGTTTCTTCATTTTAAGGACCTTACCAACATTCTTGATGGTCTTGCGATATGGCATCTAGTTATTCTTATTGGTCTTTAAAAGCATACTTTATCCCTTTTTGCCGTGTTTGTTTAATTGATTATAGTACAAAATGTTAAAGAAGTTCACCAAAATTTGTTTGTGTACCCCTCAGTTATGGCGGCTTCATTGTAACATCATTTTAAACGGTCAAACAGCTTGTAGCATTATTTTCTTGTAACGTTAATTTGTACATTTGTAGCTGTCAAAATATGGTTACCGTAAATTATATGGCGATAACTCTCTTTTTAACAATAAATTCTTACTCCAATATATCATATAAAGTACAAAAATTGACTGGTCTCTAAAAGGCATAAATTGAGTGAGATGGGCGATCTCTTTCTGATTTTGAAAAAGATGCAAATCGTTATAGGTATTTTTTATTTTTGTTTTTAATCTGTTTTTCTAATATTTTATATTTGTTTTAAGAAAGATTATGTATAAACTTGGGAAATAATTCTGCAACAACAAAATAATTATTGATCTCGCCCTGTATTCAGGAGTGAATCGTATTTATTATTTTTCTGGAACGATTTAGCCAGTGGAAAGTAAAGCAAAATAATACGTTCTTGTTTGCAATTATTTTCTGTGTTTATGCATTATCTTTTTGTAGTTTATTTTTAGTATTGTACGTTCAAGATTGCACCTAGGCACTGCCTTAGCAATAATTTCTTTTAAAAATATACACCTACCTTTGGCAAACTACATTCTGAGTTCATTATTAAATATTTACATTATCATTAAAAGTTTCTATTTTCTAGATGCAATCTTGAATGTATTGAAGAAATGTTACCATATATTGGGGTAAAAATGTGAAAAAACTATCCCTCGAATACCAAAGAGTAGTTCAAATGAACTAATTTGTCCAGCACCAAAGATGACGCCATTTTTTCGACTACGAAAGACTTCATGATCTGATTTTATTCATTACATTATTCCTATACACAATGGGCGTTGCGGAAATTGCTTTTTAGGGGCGAAATATACAAATATTTTTAACAGCACACAATTATATAAAAATATCATTTTTATTTTTTATATTTATTTCAAAATATTCCATATATTTAGGTGGGGGGCATTTGGTCCCTTTGCTCCCCAGCTGGATACGCCAACGTTGTTTGCTAGATATATCATTGGATTTTATCATATTATAAAATAAATATATGCATTTCAAAATATATTGTTTTATTTGAGGAAACTGTAAAATAGGTAGTGAATTTCGTTACTTGGAAAATCAAGCTTAAAATGACCTTGCTTATCTAGCCGTAATGTTGACAACGGAAGGTTGGCAACCTTGTTCAAAGTTACCTTTTACCTAATAATGCGTGATTTTTATGTAATTTTTGAGTTACACTCATATCAAGTGTACCCCAAGGCACTGTTTTAGGGCACATCATAATTTACTTAGAAGTAAATTATTGCTTACGGTTCGGCAGAGTTGGGATTGATTTTGACCGAATTTCTTCGCGACAATTTCGAATAAAAAAATGCAAGTGTATTCTAGAGGACAATAATATAATATCTGTGCAATAAATTATAACACAAAAAAAATATTGAGAAGAAAGACAATGTAAGGTACTCATCTCTAAGTATTGTAGAACTTAAAGTACATATATATTTTTATTTAAATACATACTCAGTCTACATTAAAATCACAATAAATTACGTAAAGGGTTTTTTCTTATGTGCAATTACAACTGTAAAATAAAAAAATTACACCTCTGCAAACTGGGTTAAAGCGGACTTAACTCTGAAAAAAAAAAAAAAAAAAAAAGATATTAACGATAATTAAAATACCGACGGTCTCTATACTTCAAAAGTACAACATTTCCATTTATTACTTTTTGCTACAATTTAAATGTACAGGATGTCATTGAAACCTTTGGAATAAGAGGCAATCTAATATTGTGGATTGAGAGTTTATTATTCAACCGGCAGTTCTGCGTAAGAATAAAACAACCATCCAATAAAAAGGAGTAACACAAGGTTTGATCTTGGGTCCCCTATTATTTATTTTATACACCAGCGATTTATGCAAAATCATCGAGTCTGAAGCCAACTTTTAGGTAGACAACGGAAAGATCTACTACAAGCCACTGGAAAGCTCTCACACATTGAAACAAGACTTGAATAAAATAGGAAACTGGTCCCAGCAATGGCTAATACCCCTCAACATAAATAAGTGTACATTATTGCACATTGGCCCAAATAATCCACATACACAGTACACCATAAATACAAACGCAATAACTCCAGTCGAAACAAAAAGATCTTTGTGTAATCATAACTAGAGACTTAAAGTAGAAAAAAAACTGGTTTAATTGATAAGCATTGGCTTTGTTTAGTGTCCTAATATTGAATTTAAAATAGTATAAATAATGCCTACAGTAAACTGTAAAAAGTTTTCAGGTTCAATTACAAAAAGCAGTTAGCTGCAGTAAATTAACAAATTGGTTTCATAGTGATTGCAGTGATCTGTCTGTCGTTGATTTCAATAATTTTGCCAAGGAAAAATCATACAGGTAAACGATTCGTTTGTCCATCATGTAGGCCCACTATGTGCTCCACTGTTCCTTTATCCGTTGATTCCTTATTTAATAAAATTAATGATTACTTCGATGGTAAGCAGGAGCGTCATATTAAACTAATTCACGATGAAAATAAAAAATAATTGCAAAACATGACCAAAGAATCAAATGCTTGGAAGATGAAGTGCTCTATTTAAGAACCAAGATTAATTATTTACGGACTAATAAATTTTCATCGCTAGAAACTACATATAATGAAATTCAACAAAGGATCTTGCGCTCTAATAACTTGATGGCTTATAACGTTTCAGAATCTAGCTCAAATCAATTAAATAATAATAATAATAATTCTCTCCCTAATTCACCCCCTTACGGTAACGCAAGGCGATTTATAATGTGGATGTCAAATCAAAAGAAATTGAATTTCTATTAATACGGCACACATCAAATCCTATAACGAAACATGCAATTTAATTAAAAATCCACATGATCTGATGTAGGATTCTGACCACAAGCTTGCCTATAAATAAAAATAAGCACGTTAGACAGCTAGCCACCGACCCAATGATGCAAAAGATGTGTCGGGAATACTGAACTGTTAAAAGTTATATGTGTCGGCAGAGTAAATAATGCAAAATCTCGACCTATAAAGCGATATTAACAAGTTCATTTCAAGTTAAAAGGGCAGTCTCTTCAAGGGCGGCTCCAGGGGGATGGGGGCCATGCCATAAAAGTTCTTCCGATTTATGGACTTTTTATTCAAAAAGGGATTGGCTAAAGCCCCCCCCCCCCCCGAAAATTCGTCTTGGAGCCGCCCTTGAGTCACTTCCCGTAAAAAATAGAGGCTAAAGGATACAAACTTTGTTTTGATATGACTAAAATTCAACAAACTCAGCGGAAATGGGACAGAATAATGACAAAAACGAACAGTAGCATATCATAATTACCGACATCATTTAGAACAATCATTTTAGAATTAAATGCTAATATATTGAAGCTATTGGTGCCTGCAAATAATACACTCTTGTCACTTAATATCTACGTGTATTTCATTAACAACAATTTATCTCGCACTTACTACTGTAAAAATGCCATATTTGTACTTTCAAAGGTAATGATTTAAGACCGTTATGTCATAACAGTAAAACTGTCATCTGTCACCTGTCATACTTAAGTTCGTTGTGCTTACCTATTAAATAAAATTTTATCTGTTGTACTTAACAACTGCTGTAAGATATTTACAACTCCTAATTCTTTTAAACGAGATTGCCTCTCAATAGCTCCAGGTTCCCCTCTTCTCGTCAGGTTATGTATACAAAAAACTGCAGATTCCTAAAAACAATAATTAGTAGCTAAATAGGCAAGTCAAGGACCATGGTAAGGGAAGTTAATAAATTCCAAGGGGTTTCTACCCCAAATTTCACAAGATAACCCTTCTATGATATAAACAGTAGATAAATCGCGCCCTCTCTGTAAAGGTGACAATAAACAAATTCAAATTGTGAGAATATGAGAGTGACAATTTTGTGTTTAGTTTACTTTCAATTAATATGTTACTAATTCGCACTAAATTTTCAATTACGTCTAGTAAAGCTTAATTTATTAGTTGTACAATTTTATAACCTTGATTTTTTGACGTTTAAGGAAAAGTCCAATTTACTAATCACATAATTAATCTAGTCCCACTAAGGGTACCGTTCAGATGTGGTGTTAAACTATAGATTTAGCATGGCTATCTTATTGGAGACAAATTTGCAAGTTTTTTTTTTTGTAAAAGTGAAAGTATTTTTAAATTTATTGCATTTATATAAACAAACAATTATTTAAAGTTAAAGGTAGTCGTCATGTGTGAGTTATGGAGTAAACAATTATTTAAACAAAAAGTTAAAATGCTAAATATGTTTTTAGTTATTTTCTAATCGAATGTAGGGTTTATTTTGCATTTTATTCTTCTGAATCGTTGTCAACATCAACATTAATTAAAGTTGGGCTATTTTACTTGTAATCTGTTCTCTTTCTCACTAATCGGAAATTATTTTGTTTTTTGGAAAAAAAAAAATTCAAAATTTCTGGTGTAGCAACGTTTAGAGCTTCACTACATGTGCTTCTTACAGCTTCATCACTGACCATTTCTATTATCGTAGAATTGTTTACAAACATCCCATTTGTTCTCAATGGGTTATTTATTGATTCGGCCTTTACTTGATGAAAATCATATTATCTTAAATGAGTAAAACCAAATTTGGTGGATTTTCACAAAACTTTTATTTTAAAAAAATTAAAATTAAAAACACTACACATAACATGTTTCGAAGTGCAACTTCTTTTTCAAATGTTAAATTCACATAATTGTTATTTTAACCACTCAGTAAACATTTCAGTATTCATGTTGTCACAATAGTCACATTTCTTAGATTTTGAAGAAAACTAATTCTGCATCAAAAATAAAGCCATCCTCGTTAACGGCATGGACAATTATGTATCTTTATCCCTCACTTGCACAGTCAAGTTGCGGTGGTCCGTCCCAAACGCGCGCCTATGGGAGAGCGACGCGAGCGTATGTGCGCGAGAGCTACGTGTGGTGCGCTGAAGGCAACCGAAGCGGGCAGTCTCGTCCTCGTCTGAACAGCGAAGCAGTGAAGGTTCGGCGTGACAGCAATAAACGTTATCCTTTTCGTTGTTTGTAAAATTAAAGTTTTTTTTATTGTTCTTTTTGGCAATATAATAGTTGTATACTAAGTGTGTGTCCTTTTAAACCTCAGAACCCATCCAAAACATCGAACCACTTCAATGTTCTATTGATTTTTTATTTGTATCCTGCCAGATTCTTTTTGAATATCACTTCGAAAAAATCCAGGTAACATCTAAATCTTGAGATTTCTTAAGAACTGCTGATTTCTCACATAATGCCTTACGAATGTCTTCTTTTTTAAATTTAAATCAGATGTTTTAGTTTTCCACAAACTCTGGTTCTTCCTACATTTATAATTCCTTTATAATAATAATAATAATCTTTATTTTCATATGAATATTACAAAGAGAACAAGTCAAAGTACAAGTATAGGTTAGGTATAAATATAAAAAATGAGGGACAAATATAATAATAATAGTTTAACGATAGTCTAATTTATTTATAGTTTATTTATTTAAAACACACTATTTACAATTTATTTATGACGTACTATTTAATTTATATAATACTTAGACACTAACTCACAATTCTAATTTATTTAATACAATTTAACTTTTTATTCCAATACTCTATACTAAACTAAACTGCCTGGCGATGAGTCGGGCTATTTATACCAAGTCCAACTCTGCTACGAGAAGTCTCTAGACGCTCCCGAAAATTCCATCTCTGACGCAACGGCACGCTTCGCCTGTTCTACCCGTTTCTCAAGCATCAGCAGCATATCTCGAAGATTCCGTCGTTTCGAGCATGAGTCGGGTGCCACAGACGTGAAGGTCGATGCTTTAGACAGGGTCGGCTTAGGAATTTCATGACAATAGTAATAAAATAAAATACAAATATGTTTAAGTTCTTCATGAATTGTATCTAAAGTTACATACTTTTTGGATGCTCTCATGTCATAAATGGTATCACGAATTTTAAATTTCAATCCTCAAGGTCCTCAATTTTTCTCTTGGAGTATTTTTTAAGTTATTTTGCTTCGTTCTGGTTTTTCCGTACGTTCTGAAATGTTGACTCGCTAATATCTAGTGCTCTCATATAGCTCTTTTATGTACCTGAAGCAATTATTGTATTAAAGGTCCACATGATTTTTTCTGCAAGGAAAAATCATTTTTAATAATTTTGACAAGTCGGACTTTTCTATATTCGAATTCAACATTACCCTAAACTAATTACTAATTAATTTATATTTTCTATCTTTTTTTAATTGGGTCATGTCTGAGCTTCATTGAACTTCATTCGTTTTAAGTGAATATCAGTGTAAACTAAAACAATTGACTGTATTTGTAATCATTTAATCACTTACCTTTTTTGTAATAAGCTTTCCTATATTGTTGATTTTCCTTTTAATTAAATTAAAGAATTGACTCTTAGTCAAGAATTATTAACTTTTATGTTTTTAAGTTTGTTTCAGAAGTTCTTGAGAGTTTCAAAAGATCCAAGTATTTAAACAAAAACAGAATAATTATTATTTACAATGAACATAAATAAAATTTAAAAAAATAAGTTATTCATCATTTACGAAAAGAATAACTTATGTACTAAATGACATTAAATCCTAGACCCATTCATTAATTAAAACCCATGTACTATTTGGGCTATTTACAGATATGATTAAATTAAAAAACACATCTTTGTTGAGATATATCGTAATCTAAGAAATTATAATAACTCACATATGTGATGGCGCTTCACCGAAAATTTTACAACCCAAGAAAGATGTTTCGTTGGCAGTTAGTCTTTTATTTTATTTAAAAACCGTTAGAAATCTCGGTATATTTTTTTTATTTAATTTATCATTTGACATTAATACTTTAATCAGGGCACCTTTTTATTAGAACTCGAAAATGTTCTGTTACTAATAGTTCTTTTCCATGTTACAATTTATGTTTCAAATGATAGTGATTTAATTAAACTTAATAGACATATTTTTTTCATCAATTTCCATTGATAAAAATGTTTATTTTACCCATCTATGTTTACTATGAGATCAACAAATATTCTCGAGATTATTGAACAAAACATTTGCCCTAGTACAGGGTATATCTATTGTTTATATGATCAAAGGGCTAACCTAAAAATTCATTGTAAAAAAAGAAATAACTTTACCTGCAAACAAGGCGCGGGATGTATCATATAATCGATCAGCTTCTTTAAAACGTCCTCGTTCGACATGATATGCTCCCTCGCTCTTTCACCATCGGCGATGTTACCTAGTATGCACAAAGCTTGCTCCTTAACGTCCGGCAAATGAGGGCCTTCAAGTACCAAAACAACGCCCTGCATTATTTGCGGTCCATGTAAAGCCATCATCATGTCCGTGTGAGTACGAGGTGAAACGAGATTTCTGAGTAATCCTAGTGTTTTCATCAAGACCTTGGAAGAAAAACGATTTTATTGTGTCCTATTTAGATTTCTTCATATTTACCTTAGTGTCTCGATCCGCAAGTAACCTAAAAATCTGATCGGTTCCCAGAGTGGTCAAAATTTGCGATTTCAAACGTTGCTCCGCTTGAAAAGCGAGATTCATCAAAGCCCAAACACCGTTTAATCGAAGACTGGGATCCGCTTGGGACGTTATGGTCGCCAATAGCTGCACCACACCCTGTTGGATCATCGGCTCTTTGGCCGGGCTGAATTCCAACAGTAAGTTACAGAGAGCCGATGAGGCGGCGGTCAACAGTTCCGTGGAGGGCGAGTCTGTAACAAAGACCCCTAAGGAGATTAGGGTCAAACAAAAACAAACGATAGTTGTGTTGGGTGTTTAAAGCCGAGTATGGCTCCAGGTAACGATGGGACTGTAAGGTGAACCAACTCCTAGTTAAAAACAAAAGAGTGGCTAAAATTGATCAGGATTACTATGAGTTAAAATCCGCCAGGTTCGCTAGTGTATTTAAGACAGCAGTCTTGCGAGGATTTTACCCGATTTTTGGGTATTCTTGCCCAACTTTTTATTGCAAATCAGTTTATTTTAGCAAATGAAATATAGAACTGAAGTATAATTTTCAATAATACTGAATTAAAGTTTATAAAAAATGATTAAAAGCACAGACTATCGAAAAATGAAAAAATATTGTTATTGCTGGATTCTAATTTTCTTAGTGATTATTATTTACAAAAAAGAATAAACAGTGATATGCACGTAAGTTTAAGATCTATTAAATATACTCAAATTAAGTTACTGCTAGAGTGAAATGATTGTCTAGAAAAATTCAAAGAATTTTATTTAATTTCGGTATTTATAGTAAAAGCAATGAAATTTCCAATGCACGTCATAAACTCATGAAAGAAGACGTTGCCACGTTGCTACAAAATTCGAGGATCTCAAGAAACATTTTACAAAAAAACTAATGTTTAATTTGAACCTCTTCTTTTGACACTTTAAATAATTAATTCAATAAACCTACATATACAATTTTAGAAGAATTCGGAAGTAGTCCAATAAAAATAAATAGAATAAAAATAAAAGACAAGTAAAGCTTTATTCAGAACAAGAATCACTATCGCTATCATCATTAAAATTAATAATTTCAGGTAAAATATCCTCCAGTTCAAATATAACTTCAGGATCCCAACATTTCTGAATATTTTTTTCAGTACGACTGATACAATTAGACCAGACTTAGGAGGTTACAGTTAGTAATGCTTCCCTGCACATACTTAAATCGAGTTTCCATCCCTACCAATATGCCAGTTATAATAATTCTAGGCAATACCTCATATCATTTCAATTGGGTTAAATAACTGGGTGGCCATATTGTTCTGCAAGTTGATCTGCTTTATAAATTTTTGGTGGTTTATTTCTGAAAACCATGTTCAATAAATCTTGTTTGTTCATATTCTGATCAAATTGAATGTTTTATTTCATCAACCAATCCTGAATTTCAGGTTTTGTCCAGGAATTATTGGGCATTCTCCATAATAATCCTTGAAGGCTCAATTAAATTCATAAGTAATTAATTCTCGAACCATTTTAAAAAATTTGCTTCATTTATTTCCCCATGATATTCGGGATTGTTATTATTTGATGAACACCACTTTTGCCACATCAATAAAACCATTTTCTTTATCAGCATGAAGAACAATGAATCTTTTTCATCAAAGTTTTTATGCTCCTTTTATCGTTGTTTTGCCAAGAGAGGTTTACTGTGCCATTTTGAAAAATTCATGTTTTATCCAGATAAACAAATTTATATAGACAGATTTTTGTACTTGTGTATAACTTTAAAAAACTAAATCTTTTACTGGCAATATGAGGAAGTTCCATAAGATTCCGCCGGGATCATCTTTCTTCCATTTAAATCCTATATTGGTTAACACAGTACACAATGATCTCTGACAATATAATTTCACAAGAGTTACTAGTTGTTTCTTCTTATACATATTGTAAATGACATCACGAATGTAGTCAGAATTGAAAATATCAGTTACAGGTGTGGGATGTGGTTGCCTTTTTGTAGAATTTAAAACATGGTTATTCTTTAATGCCTGGGAAATTGAGCTTACCGTCGAAATATTCAAATTGAACGGCGCTGCTGTATGCTCTCTGACTGCATTTATAAAGGGTCACTGTTCTCTCATTCTTCTTCAATATATCTTATTAGAGACCCCACTAAATCTTTCGCACGGCTATTTAAATGAGCAGGCATTTTAAAAATAAAAAATTAATTTGTTTATTAAACACAAAAATATTTCTGTTGGCAGTTTGACAGCTCAATTATACATGTCATAAAAAAATATTGATTTGGCAACTGTCCATTACGTATATCAATTGCCCACTTAAATCTTGAAATGCAACAAATATGACTAACAACAATGATTTATCTGTTCAATTTGATAAACAATGTTCATCATTGATGACGTGCAACGGAAATTTCATTGCATTTGATATATAGTCAAGATAATATGTTAAAGTGAAAGGTCTGGTACCTATTCATTTACGGCAAGTACGATATTCAATCATGATCATGACTTATATGATACTATTGCAAGTTAAGACTAACTTGAATAGAGAAGATAATTGTTGACGCCAATGGTTTGAAATCTAGCTGTTTTGAAACGGTGACGCTGATGCATGAAGTGTGATGAAACTGTATCTTCTCTATTTAGGTTTATCTTACTATCCAGTATAAACAACTCTTAAGCTTCATAGACCAGGGGGGGGCATATTTTAACCCGGGTTATCAAAATTACATTTTATATCGATTTGGCTTGGATTTCTATAAGATCTATATTGGATCTAAATATGGCCTAAAAATTATCTTGTTGTCAGGTAGGAGAATATATTTGATGTTTTTATATTTAAGAAGGTTTGAAAAGTAATATTGTCATGGTTAAAAATAGTTTTATTTACGATATTTGAAACTAATTGCACTGTCATGGTTGAGGTGCTTTGTTATAATGTTTTTTGTTAAGAATCCGTAAAAAAATGGTGTGGTTTATAATTTCTCAAAACTAGTTATTTTTTCTAAGGCAATACAACTTTAATCAATTATAAGCAATATTAACTATACTGCGGATCACAGTAAAAATTCAGTATTGGTCTTATGGTGCACCGAGTTGCTCTTACATCATAATTCTCGGTGACATGTGAGAGTTTGACAATAGGATGAAAAGCCTCGACTGTAATCGATTCGTTTGGTAAAATTGTAAATAAAAAATTGTATAGATGTAATCAGTCTCCTTTTCCACACATACATTAGACTAATTCGTCCTTTGGAAAGTGCTCTATACAAGGTGAATTCTAAGTATTTTTAACTGGGTATAGAAATCATTAAACTAAACAATTTTTTCAATTTACTTTTTCAAAAAAAATTTAAAATAAGAAACTTATATTGATGTATTCCAAAATGTATCAAATACAGTAATCATACTTATAATATATAGAACTTTCGTCTGAAAATGTTGAACACATTCATGCGGTTGTACTCGTGAACTCTGCAGGGGAAATCTTTAAGGTAAACGTCAAAAGGATACAACTGATTTTCCCTCAATGTTGTTCAATTTTCTTTGACCTTTTCTGCAATAATCCGCGTACTTATTTTTGATTTTCTAACATTTAAAATGCGTTGTTCTAAACACGCTTCATTTTCATTTTACCATAATATTGAACAATAAAATCACTGGGTACTTCAGATAAACACACTACTGAAATATCACACTAAACCGCCTCACAATAAATCGTAATTCATAAAAAAAACGAAAATTATAAAAAGAAAACAGAATTTTTATACACAAGTCCAGGACCGGGTTTGCATTTTTTTTGTTTTTTGAAAAAGATATTTATTTTTTGACTTTTATACAGAGTTAAAAAAGTATTAACTCAGGATTTATTCTGTATAAGTATCCACTTTCCGCATAAGCTGTTATTTCTATTTTTATCTATTTAAAATAAAAAAATGGATGGATAGAATCAATTGTAAAAAGAATCGATTGTATAAAGTGAAACGATCGTAAAAGGAATTGAATGTAAAAAGTATTAATTGTAAAAATTAGAATCTATTGTAAAAAAATAATTTATTGTAAAAATAATCGATTACAACAAAAGAATGGGTTGTGAAAAATCCATTAAAAAAGTATAAAATGTAAAAAAGAATCGACTGAAAAAAGGAATCGATTCTAAAAAAGTATCAATTATTGTAAAAAAAGAATCTATTGTAAAAAAAGAATCAATTGTAAAAAAGGAATCGATGGTAAAAACACTATTTATTGTAAGAAGAGTTAATTGTAAAAAGTATGGAATGTAAAAAATTGATAGTAAAAATAATCGATTAGACAAGGCTTAGGTTAGGCTTTTAAGGGAAAAACCTGTAAATAACCTAGTTAATTTTAAAAATTGATCTAATTATCAAAACATGACCTTCTCAGAACATTAACTGATGTAACGTCAACATAAATTTATTTGGCCTAGACTAAAAAATATTTTGTGGCCACTTGCTTGAAGAATATAGGAAAGTTATAATTTTCGATTGCTTTGTGGGCAAAAAAAGATATTTTTGATACATTCGAATAAAAATAAAACTAATTCAAAACTACAGTATGCAATTTTTTCAAGTATTATAAAAAACTGTTTTCACCAGGATCCAAACCTCAATTCAGTAATCCAAATCAAAACATAGACACTAGATACAAACAGATTGAACTTCCATAGTTAGCCGATGTTAAATTTGTCTTTTAGTCGTAGAAAAAATAATGTACATCACTTGTGCGACAGTGATTTTTTTGTCCGATGTGATTATCGCACTCGTATGGCAATATTTCCACTCATGTAAAAAGTCACTTTATGCACTTCAAATTTAATGTATGATTTCATATTTTATTAAATTTAACATTCAATATCAATAAACAAAACAGACTTTGTATATTTCAGGGTTATTGTTTGATTTTTATTACAATTTTATTTAACTTTTTCTTGTTTCTTTTTATAATAAAATACTTCGTTTAAAATTAGTACCTATAATGCTTTCATTAATTTAATTATGACTGTTACCTTCCATAAAATTGTGACGCCCATAAATGGGCAGATTGTCATAAGGCAAAAAATACATTTTTGGAGAGTTTAATAAAATTCTTAAGTTCTATCAGTAACGTGGCCGTTAACGGTAACAATTATAATTTCATTAAATGTTATTCGAATAGCATTTGTTAGGGAAAATGCTATGTATACGGTTTTAGGAATATTCTGTGATAGTTTATTTATGTCCAAACAATTTTTAATAATTCTCATCCCCTTGCTAACTCTCTTTCATAGACTGCCATGTGTTGCTTTCAAACAATAGAACGGTGTCATCTGCATAATAAATTTTTACACACCCAATATCTAAATGTAACAATTAATTAATTCATGTAAACCATAAATAATATCGGACCCAGAACTCCCATTTTTATCGTGACTATGCCACTATGTTCATTTCTTATTTGTATTACTTGTTTTCTTTCGTTTAAATCGTTTTCAAATACTTTTAACACTATTCCTCGTATTCCATAACTTTCAAGAAAATTTAAAAGTGGGGAACAGTGTCAAACGCCTTTGCTAGGTCGATAAAAACACCTATATTATCTAAGCTACTTTTTGTGATTGATATTAGTTTATTCATGGCATCACTCGTACTTGTCCCCTTTTGGAAACCAAATTGTTTTGTTTGCTTTTTTTAAATAATCATATAACCTACTTTTTAGGAATTTTTCAAATATTTTAGCAAAATTTGTGATTTGACTAACTGGTCTATAATTTGAAATATTTTTCTTAGTTCCCTGTTTTAAAATAGGCATTACTATAGTGTGACATCATTTTGGTTACTTTAGGAATATATTTATAAAAAAGCAAAGTCTGTATAAATTAGATAAACAAAACGCATTTAAAAACAATAAACAAGACTAATATCTCTATAATTGTCAGTGGAACCAGAATTAGATCCTTACTGATTTAGTATTGATACTCTTAAGTCCACTACCTGTTTCTGTTAACTATGAGAAATTGGAGCGAAAATCCACAATTAACAAGAAAACTAAGGTAAGCCACACATTGATTTTCTGTATTTTCCGTCTATAATACTAAAAGTCCACACTCTTAAATCTATCCTCATTTAAAATACATTACCCTATGCTATATGTACTGAATTTTAACTATGACCTGAAGTATAGAATTTTTTTTACTATTGTATTTCAAGTAAATATTATTCATAATTGTCCGTACCTACGGAATAGGTCCAATGTATCATTTTACCTGTCAACAGTGTCATTAACGGTCTCCAAACAGAGTGATCTTGAAACGTTGTGCGCAACTGCTGCACCGATCTGCTCAATGAGTGTAAACATCTCACCGCCGCCAATCGGATGTCTTTGTTGTCGTCGCCCAGTCCGTCCACGACTCGGTCCATTAGGCATTTCGTGTCGATGATTCGTTTTCGAATATCTTCGTCGTTTGCACCCAAAGAAGCGAACGCCCTGTATTTGACACAAATGTATGAGTTAAATAAAATTGGTCCACAGTGAAATACTTTGTAGTACTATTCATGAATTAAGCCTAGAGATGGAAAGATGATATCTTCTAAGATGATAGATTAATTTTTTAATGATTGTTTTTGATAAAAATATTTACCTAAACGCCGCCCCTCTAGCTGCTACGCTCGGACATTTCAAAAGGTCTACTAGAGCACTAACGAGTTGATTACTAATAGCTGCCACTTGTTGTAGATTACTATCAACTTCTGTCAAATAGGCTAAAGTATCAGCTGCCAGTGCTCTGTGTGTCTCTTGGTGTTCTATCTAAAAAAAAAACAATAATAATAAAAACCAAGTCTGGTATTATTAAAATGTATAAATATTAAGAACTAGACAGACTTTCATGTAAATAAAATTTGTGCGGATGTGAATATCATGGATTCCGCTGTGTATGAATGAGCTCTTAGTCAAATTTAATAACAGTTATTAATGTTACTGTAGTTTGAAGGCAACAGTAAAATTTCATCATCTTTCTGAAATATATAACTGTAATAATTCTGGTTATTGAAAACAGTAATTGTAATCTAATTTTACTACAAGCAAAAGTTGCAATTGAAGGGAGATTTCATTAAATGTAATTTATTATAGTGAAATAAATTGCAAATTCAAAAATTGTTATATATCTAGAGAAACTGTTCTTTTTTGGTAAAGCAGTAAATAATTTTGTGAGCACTGTAAATGTAATTATATGTTTTGTGAATTCTTTAATAGAGTGGTAACCCTAAAATATATATTTTTAAAATGGATATGTATAAAATGTAATGAAGATTAATTTTCTTCAATAGATTTCATTTTAATTTTCAAAGTAAGTACAGTACGACAATATTGAGATGGCAAATCAGAATTAGATTAGCACTGGCAAATAAAAATGGGAAGAGTTATATCAGTTAATGGCTGAACTACCACATAATCAGACAATTTCTGGACTAGAACTTATTGTACATTTGATCTAGGACTTACTCTCTTCTTTTTTATATAACAATATGAGGTAAGTTTATAAACCAATTATAAAAAAGTTTTTGCTTATATTCGCTCAGTGTGAAGTCATGGTAGGGGAAGCAAAAGCGATACTAGCTCTAGCTGTGGATAATTCATGCATTTTAGGGCGATATGTGGTAATTTTGGCATATCAAATACACATATACATTTTACTTTTTTTACAAAAAAAGTAGGTAAAAACAATATAATAGGCCACCGGTGTTGCTGTGTTGAAAATTGTAAAAATACTAGCAAAAAATAATGTAAATTATAAAAACTTTCAGTAGCAAAGTGGAAATTAAATCAAAGAAATAAATGGATAGGTGTACAATAAGTAGAACAATTACCTTCATTTTTTTAATAATAGTAATACTGGAAATTGTAGACATCAGAAACTTGAAAGGTTTTAAATAAACAATAAATTATTATTTGTTCTTCAACATTCTTTTAATCTTAAATGTTCAGTAAGAACAAGATTTCTGCCTTTGATTATTGTATGTGGCTGGAATACAATTTTGTGACTTGCTGATAGGAAACCAGTTTTAATCATTCATTCTGTTTTCTTTCAAACAAAAATGAAAATATACATAACAGTACTTCTGTTTATACATTTTGACTTAACAGTATTATTTAATGGTATTTTTTATTTTGACAGAATAGGTTAATTCTTCAAAGACAACTTATTAGACTTGGGCAACTTCTCATACATTTTCCCATAAATACTGTTGCCTACCTACATTTTATTATTGATTTTTATTGATTATATATATTTTTTTTTAGTTTAAGCAATAAAAATACATAATAATAAATTAATGTATCACTTGTTTTACAAATCTATATATTTTTATTAAAACCAACATATATACTTTTTAATTATGAATTCTAATAAAAATTGTATTGTCAGTATAGGAAAAAATAGTCCATTAGTACATAAATGAATTAGCGCTGCTGTCAAGCATGGAGTGAATACTCTCCACCATGCTATCTACTATGTAACTTTACAATTTTAGGCCTGATGGCCCATAGAGGCCGAAACTAGTAGCCAAATAAAAATAAAATTCTGTGGTAAATGACTTAAGAGTTTTCTTTCCTTATATATTTTCATTGCTTTTACTAGAAGGTATTTATTCAGGTACTTAAATTTATTATATAAAATGATTGCATTTTTATTTATTACAAATTTTATATGAATGTCCCATTTAAGATGAGTATCGATGATTACTCCAGGGTATTAACTATGAAGACTACCATTTTTTTAATTCTTAGTTGGTGATATGGGTAGATATTTGTGTTGTTGCAGCTAAAGAGTAGAAAATATGTTTTATCCATATTTATGGTTAATAGTTTATGAACCATTTGTATAGATTTAGAAAATCCCTGTCTGCTTTGTTTTAATTTGTTCCAGGTCTCAGCCTAGTAAAACACCACAGTTCTCATCAGCATAACTCAATATGTCTCCTGTGGTATTAAGACAAAATATACTATTTATAAACAAGTTAAAGAGGTTCAACCCTAGAACAGTGCCTTGTGGTTGACAAGTTTTTCAGTGCTTATAAAATTAACTTCTACCGTTTGGGATCTATTATTTAAATAGTTGTTTAATAAAAGTAAATATTTTCATGTAACATATATTTTTTAAAGATTTATTAGTGTTTTAGAAGGTATTTTAATGAATATGTTTATTGCAGTATTGGGATCATTCACTGTGTACACAGACTGCCAGCTTGAGAGACATTTTGTATTTGTTTTTTATTGTTAAATTTTTTTTGACAACTTCAGAATGAGTTTTTATGTTTTCATGCATGACAATTTGAAGTATTGTTGTTTTGACTTACCTGACATAATCTAACAAGACAAGGAAGGGTACGGTAAGTGATAATAGGGTCATATGCTGATATAGCCCCTGCTCTATACAAATTAGTCAAACATCTAGCAGCACCCAGTTGCATGTCAATGGGCCTATCCCTAGATATGAGTATCTCCAGGTAATCAGGGATTTTTATACCCTTACAACTAGTGTTTACTATAACTCCAGCTACCACGGAGTTGTTCCAACACATGGTAGCCAAACATGTCACAATTGGTATAGTTACGGAATAGTTTTGAACTGACAATAAGGAAGCAAGGGTAGCTGGGGCTCCTATGGAGCATAATATGTTTTGTTCAACAGGGCTTTTGCAAGCAGAAGTGATAATATTGGCAACACACGATTGGCGCTGCAGAGTATCTTTTGGTCCGGCATAACTTAGCAGTTTTTGAAGACTTTTAATATCATATTTAACATCTGACGCACTTGTATATTGAGATAATGTACGTAAACAGCATAAGCAAGCATCTATTAATCTTGGTTCGTTTTCTTCCAGTACATCCAGGAGAATTTGACTTGTCCCAGAACTGATAAGTAATTCCACATGCTCTTCTGTGCCCTTAGCTAAAGATCCTATGGTTACTGCGGCTTCTACGCGAACATTTACCTTGGTATTTTTGTCTTTCAGTAGGAACAAAAGCCTAGGAACAATGCCTTGTGCTATTACAGACTCTTTTTGGCGATTCGAGCCTATTACCGAATTTTTTATACACACTATGGATTGCAAGCATTTAGAAGCATCTTTCGAGTATAAATCATCTATATAAGATCTGGTACTTTCAACATCCTGCAACAGAAATCGTAAAATTAGGTTTTCCTTCAAGAATGTAGGTTATGACGGCAACTTACCATAAACGCCGTAAAAACTTGCATTTCTAATAGCATCGCACAAATACATTAAAACATTTAACACGGATTAAACCGTACACAATTTGGTAAAACACAATGTGACATTAATAACGTGATTCTGATTTAACAAACTCGTAATAACTTTAAATTTTTGACACAAACGTAGATATTTTGACAATGCTTTTTCCAATGTCACCGTCGCCGCCCGGTGGCCGAGTGGCGTATTTCAATAAGCTACCACTTGTGTTTTAATCAAGTTCCGCGACAAAGACCTTTGATAACTAGACAAAGTTAACAATGGACATAATAGAAATGAATAGTCGTTTAATGCAAGTTGGAATGTAAACTCTTTTTATTTCATCTAACTTCAGTCCATAGTTTATTATTTAATATTATTATTATCATATTCTTGTAAAGCAGGGACAGAAGTTGGAAACGCTTTTGGTAGGTGGAGAAGTGGTAAATTTAATGTTTACGTGTCATATCGTAGAATAAACATAACACTTTAAATTTTTACCGGCAGAAACTAATCTATTTATGGGCTAGAAATAATTATTTAGGGCTGATTCCACCGTTGTGTTAGGTTAAACGGAGATTAAAATGACATTGTTAATGTAAATTTGAACTTCGTTTAACACAACGGTGGAATCGGTCCTCAAACAAGTATTATATTATCCCAAATCATAATTCTATAAAATTGTTATTATCGCGTTCACTTTGAGTAGCTCCACGACAAAACTGACAATTCCTGTTTATGAAAGTGGGAGAACTGCGAAAGGCCTTTCCAACTTATGTCCCTGCTCTATTCATCTTGTGATGTAAAGTTAGCTTTGAAATGAAAAGAGTAAAAGGAATTCCCGAACTCAGCTGTTTTTTTTGTCATCGGCATCAACTGCTATGATTATTAGCCTCCTATTCTGTGGAAGCCTTTATTGTTTCCCAGCTCCGCTTTAGGAACAGCACTCTTAATTAAAACCCAACAGTGATTGGTCGAGGGAATCCTATACGTACCTATGCATTATAATTAATATTTAATTCATTAAATTAAATAAAAATATTCTAACCTGAGACCCTTATTCGATTTCAAATGCTGCGTTTGAGAATCCACATTGGATGCATTTTTTACATCTCGAGCGTTTTTTTATCCACATCGGACACATCTGTCCCATTACATTTACGTATACTGAATCACGTGATCAAAGATTTTTTACATCTCAGATGCATCCGATGTGGATTCTCAAACGCAGCAATTGTTCTCTATAACCACTGAAAGTCACCACCTCCCACTCAGCTATTAAACTACTCTTAACTATGAATTGCTGAGATTGAGGTGTTATGATTTATTGGATGTACTAGAATATTATTTGTACTTTTAATGTAAAATAGTTTTAGTTCGTAAAATAATTATTTTTATTTGTGTCTGTCTCTGTCTTTTATCGCATTCCCTGACCTAGCATCCACATCCAAGTATAGGTATAATGTTGTTGTGTCTATCCAGTTTCTCTAGAAATATTGAAATTCCTAGATATCATAATATATACTCTTACTACTTCAGCCATTCTCTATATAAAGGTATACAGACATCGTTTTCTCAGTTCTTCAGCATTTTTTGAAGATTAAGTAACATTTAGGCACCGAACTCTGCTCTGCCAGGCCCATTATTTTATCTCTAACTTTTAAAAAAATTATAATATAAATGTATTGACTTGAACATTGAGTAAATTCGCCAGTGATATTTTGCCATAAAAACTAATACGATAAGCAAAATTATTGAATACAATTATTAAAAAGTACTGTGTTCTTTAATTTTGCTTTATTTTAAAAAAACGCACACGTCTATCGTTTAGTAGCTTTATATGTTTTGAGACTGATTATTGCAAAATATTTTCTGGGAATTTACTCTTTACTATTGATGTCAACTCGTGCCGCGTTTGAGAATCCACATCGGATGCATTTTTTACATCTCCAGCGTTTTTTTTTATCCATATCCGACACATCTGTCCCATTACATTAACGTATATATACTGAATCACGTGATCAAAGATTTACTACGTCTCAGATGCATCCGTTGTGGATCTCATCTCATTCTCAAACGCGGTATCGGTTAGAGAATAAGTATTCGTCATTCGACTTAAATCACAAAACAATCTATTACATTTTGAAATATACCAGAGCAATGAGCAAACCCTCTTAGGATAAACAACAAAGAAATCTCATACAGTAATTATATTCTAATTTATAATCTATCTATGGAAAGTCTTAGTTTCACCCTAACATTTAAAAATTAAATAAATACCAAAATTTATGAAATTTAAATTCAGAAACACCATCAAAGTTCTACAAAATTTGTTGTGTTTGGTTTTTAAATAAAAAAAAATTATATTTACTTTTTTTAATAAATTTTTGATTGGCTATAAAAAAAAACCGGTCTTTAAATAGGTTTGTTCCCGAAGCGAGTTCCTAACTAATTGAGCATGCGCAGTACAAAATAACTGTTCCAGCAGAGCAAAGTTCCAAACAAATTGAACTTGTTTGATGTTTCCGCAAGATTAAAAACTTATTCATAACATGTTTGTTACTAGTTTTATTGGTTCCTAAATAAAATACGAACTTTTACTTTCGCGCATGCGTGCTTAAGTAAAATCATTCTTCTTTTTCTCCTTTGTTTTTCGGTTAGTTTTGTGAGTGCTATCTTTAATTTTGATTTTACCATAATTATTTTATTTAAAATGAATGCTTTCCTTCTTGAAAGTGAATCAGAAGTGGAGATTTCAGATAGTTCTGATGATAGTGATAGTGATTTTTCAGAATTTGAAGAAGAATTATTACAGGATAGACAGCGGCCAAAAAATGAAAACTATATCCAAGAAACGATTCAACAGTATAATGATACTGAATTTGTTGAACATTTTCGAATTAGCAAAGACTGTGTAAATAGCCTTGCAAGACAATTCGAAAGCAGTGATTTATTTCATCCTCAAACAGGTGGAAATAAGAAATTAAGCGGCAAAGACCATATTCTTATATTCTTGTGGTTTGCTGGACATCAAACCGCTTCATTTCGAGATGTGGCTGATAGGTTCAATATTTCAATTAGTAGTTTGTTCCGAGTGATCCGCCGGGTTACATATTTTTTAAGTGGCCTGTCTCCTCAAGTGATCAAATGGCAAACACAAGAGGAAATGCGAGAAAGTGAATTTTTTTTTAGAAATAAAGGATTTCCTGGTGCCATAGGAGCAATCGATGGATCTCATATCCGAATTGATAAACCTAAAAGAGATCCCGATTCCTATTATAATAGAAAAAAATATTTTTCAATTCAAGTAAGTACAGACCCAATTTAGAAATAGTACCTACATTATAAGTATTGAAAGTGTATCATTTTTTTTGCAGTCGAGCGAATGCAAAATTGTGAGTAATAAATCACTTTTAGTCCATATGATATATACTATTTTTACTTTCCTATCTGTATACAGATATAAGGAAAGTATAGGAATCATGATTTTTTTCGACCTCGAGTTTTCGATGGATTTTTACGTTTTGAGGTCCCCTGAATACTTTTAAATGAATTCTGAACTAGATGTAAACATACTGTGGATATAATAGAAATTGCAGAAGATATAGGTGTCCAATTAGTTTGTATTACTATGTTTGAAAAAGGCAATCTTTTTTTTATTTTAATTGAAGAGCTCAAATGCAATTACTTTTAATGCTAGGATTAAAAGTGTTAGTAACGAGCATATTTTTGTACACTATGAGAATTATTAGCTTCTGCACCCGAAAATAGTACAAAAATGTCAATATTTACATTATATTTACCTATAATCCTATTCTAGGGGACATACATAAATATTACATTGCAAAATAAAATTAAACCATTAACTGTCAAAAAACTAAATAATTAATACTATTTTAGCTTCAAGCAGTATGTGATCATCGAATGGTGATACGAAGCCTCTTTGTGGGTTTTCCAGGTTCGGTGCATGATGCACGAATATTCAGAAGAAGCCCTCTTTCCCAAAATCTAGCACAAAAGTGTGGAAATTTTTTCATTTTAGGTGATAGTGCATATGGTTGCACTAGACACTTAATTACACCTTACAAAGATACCGGAAACTTAACCCGCCGTCAACGGCTTTTCAATACAAAGTTATCTGTTTGTAGAGTTATTATTGAACATTGTTTTGGACTCCTAAAACAGAAGTTCAGACAATTATTTCACTGCAAGCTACAAAAAATTACAGACATTGTACATTTTATTCGAGCTTGTTGTGTACTTCATAACCTATCAATAAATGAATTCATTATACATGAAGAAGAAAATAATGCCGGACCAGAAGACATAGATCCAGAACAGGCTTTAGATGATCACGAAGATATAGAAAGAGATATTCCCGAAGGAAGTGCTTATCGTAATTACCTTTTAAGAACTTTAAATTTATGATTATATTAATTGGTTTTAATTAAATAATGAAATAAACTTTTCAAGCAGACTTTTATTTTCCTTCTTAAACATTCAAAATAGTATTCAGTACAGGTATGTACAACAAACAAACAATCAAATAACTTAAAAACTATACAGGATGTTACAAAAAAGTAGGCCAATCAGTTGACCACAGATTCCTTAGGTCAGTGTAAGAGACATCTATTATTTTTTTCGATTGGGGCCATCATGTTAAATATACAGGGTGACCAAGTTAATTTTTTAAAATTAATTTTTTATTATATTTTCGTCATTTTATTGAGTAGATGGCTTAAAATTGGTACATCGGGGGTTTTTTTTTTGATAAAAAATCATATTGTGAGCCTAAATATAACCTACCTCATAGAGGGCGCCAGTTGCAAGTCTTCCTCCCCTGTATTTTGAAGATGTTGGTCCCAATCGAAAAAATAAAGGTTTCTTACACTGACCTAAGGAATCTATGGTTAATATATTGGCCTACTTTTTTGGGACACTCTGTAAAAACTGAAGAACAAATATTCTAAAAAACAACAGAAGACAACATATTCTGAAAAAAAAAAAACTTAACAAAAAATAATGAAGGTACATTTTAATGACTTTCATTAGGTATTTTTAAGTATTCCTTTATTAATCGATTTCTTTCTTCTAGCAAATTATTCCTTCTTTTTTGTTCTTCAATTTTCTCTTTTTCAATAGCAAGTCTCTCCTTTTTAATTGAAAGTTGTTCTTTATTATATTTTAGTCTATCTTGCCTAATAATGTCTAATACATCAGTTCGACTTCTTTTTTGGGTACCAAGCCTTGTAGGTTTGTCTTTTTTTTCTTGTTCATTTTTGGGTACAGCATTTTCCTTTTCAGATTCCTGTCGAACAGTTGAATTATCAACAACCGTGTCTTCAGACAACAGAATATCCGGATTAATTTTCTTTTGTTTTATAAATATTTCTTCCATTTCTTTTTCAAATTTAAAAAATTTTCTTCCTCTACCTGTTTTATTATTGTTATCTACAACATTTTTAAAACTTTTCTCTAACGTCTTCCATTTATTACTGACTCTTTCTCCTGTCAACGTTAACTTGTACCTTTTATTTAAAATGTCTGCAATAATTTCAAACAGTTTCTTCTGGCTTTTGATTGACTTCCCTACTTTTTTATAGTGTTCTTTATATACATGGATCAGTGCATTAGTGGTTGTATCTGTCCAATGCATATATTGATTTTCTGAATCTATGTTTGAATTAAACATAATTTGTTCCGACTCGACAACAGACGGAACCGTGGCTGAAGCACGTTCAGATGGAAAGGACAAAAATTCTTCCAAATCTACAATACAACATTATAAAAAATCTTTTAATATTTCTTTAATCTGAACTTACCATAACTTACTGAGGCATTCATCATATTTATAAAATAGTTCGAACAGTAAAAATGTTATACAGCGTTATAACAAAAAAAATATATCATAATAGGATAGTTTTTATTCCATAACCTCAAAATCTTCTTTTTTTAATAAATATATCGAATGACCTGTAATTAGTTAAAACACTCAGCCACATATTTATTTTATTAACGTTCCAGCACACATTTTTTCGGAACTCATTCTGAATATTATTCTGGTCACGCATGCGTATCAGATAATGTTCGTAACAAGTTTGGAACTCGCTTCGGGAACAAACCTAATAAGTGATAGCTTTTAGCAATTTTGTAACGAAATCGTCAGTTAATACTGTCATCTGCCAACGGTCAAAATTTAATTGGCCGAGTGCCAACTAATAAGAAAGGAGGAATTAAATCTTAAACCAATAGAAACGAATAATATCTTTGCGTTTTCCGCAATTGCGGTAGGAAACGACAGTTAACAGCCAATAAAACGAAGCTTTATTACAACAGTGTTGTTTTATGATCCTTCCTCCATGGTTTTATGTTTTATGTGTAAAAAAAAGATTGTTGGTGCAGCAAAGCAGAGCAGAGCAGAAAATAACATTTAAAGCGTAATTTCTAAAAGAACATTATAAGATTTTATTACTTTAGTCATGTTTACATAATTTTTAAATATTTTAAAGTAAATAACCATGGAAAAAAATCAATTAAGCCCTGGTAAAGGAGGTCCAGGTGAGCCTTCCTTTCTTGTTTTTGTAGATATTTTGGATTTCAACATTGTTTTTTTCGGTTTTAGCAAACAATTTTGCTGGTGATAACGACGAACCTTATCCAAGTCTATCAGATTACCACGATTATGAGCCTAATCTAGAATTTGATGACTCTGAATTACAACAGTCGCCAAATGTTATAGCCCAAACAGGTAAATATTTAGTTGATACAAATAAATAATATAAACACCTGTTTATTATTAGTTTTTTTATCTATTGTGAAAATTTATATAGCTGGTGGAATGTTTCAAAATCATTTAGTGTCTGTGTAGCAAATATAAATTAAGGAAAACATATTTTAAATGTTTATATTTAATAAGTAAACACACATTTTTGAGAGTGTACATTTCTTGTATTTTAGCAGTCCTTGTAAATTAATCTTATTGAAATGAAAATTTATTCATTTCCTATTATGGATATTTATTTAGTTATTTTATTGAATGTTTAAGTGCATCTTAACATTGAAATGGCATTAGAAAGCAGCAGTAAGTAGGAGTTTTTAAAGATCACTTACAGAAATACTTGTCTTGAATATTTTTTACTATTCATAAGTAAACCACTCCTTTCCTTTTCTAAATTAGCATAATTCTGCATACATACAGATGTGTATTAAGTATTTATCTAAACTAAATTTTAAATCACTTAATATTAGTTGTTACTATTTTTCTATAAAGAGTTTGTGATAAGTCAAATAATAGATATTAATGTAAGAGTATGTTTATTATTCATTATACATGCTAATTACATAAATGGTAAGGTAGATTGATTATTACCTTATTATTTATAACCATAAGTAATAATTATCTAAGTTATTTGGTTTTTACATTGTTTGATTATACTTAATTAAAAATGGAAAAACTGTTAGTGATAAGTATAAAAAATAGTTGCTATTTATTCAATTCACTTTCTTGCTGGTAAAAAAGTGCTTTATTTACAAAAAAATTATATGAATACAATCTAGATTAAACCATCTATTCAAGGAAATCAGTTTCAAGAATCCTAAGTTGATAAAAATTGTGTTAAACTACTAAAATTGGAAAAACATCTTTTTTATCTATAATAATGAAACGAAGAGTTTTTTTATCTGAACTAGGCAAAAAACTTGAAATAATAACATAAATACACATTTAAAATCAACCAGTGGCATGTCCTGATTTATAGGGTATGGATAAAGTAATATAAAAAAAAATCAAATAGAATGTATAAAATGCAAAAAGAAATCGACATTAAGAGATCCCAATAACATCATTTTTGCATGTGATTTGTGCAGAAATTATCTGTGGCAATTATTCGTAGTTATTAGGTTCTGAAATAAAATATATGCCACTTAAAAAACGCTATTTAAAATTCCACTATTCAAGCTGATGTTGTAGATCTGCTAAAAAAGAATAGTCTCTGACAAAGAACATTACGTCAGTAAAAATAAAATAATCAAAATTCTTGAAGAAGAAATTAATAAACTTAAAACTACCCAAAGTATCTCAAGCTATACAAATGTATCATGTGGACTCTAAACGACAAATAAAGAAAAATGTACCACCCATTTGTAATAAACCATGATATAACTGACCATTTTCCCATATATCTTAACATTTGCCAAAACAAGCAAAATAGTACTGAAACAGCTGAAAAATATATAACCAAAATATATCATAACAAATTTAAACAATTAATTAAAGATTGCCAATGGAATGATGTTTATAGAAGTGAAGATAATAATAACAAATTTAATGCCTTTTGATATATCAAAAAAGATAATTAGAACAAACAAGCAAATAAAACCCTGGATAACAAACAAATGCTATAATTAATTCAATAAAACATAGAGATAAACTTAAAAAAGAGCAATAAAAAATAAACAAAATCCCGAGCTATTAAATAACTATAAAATATACAGAAACCAACTTAACAAATTAATAATTGCTGCTAAAACTAATTGCTACTATGAACAAATAAATATTAACAGTAGAAATTTAAAAAAAGTTTATCAAATAATCAATGAAGCCACAAATAGCAGTAACACAAACTCCACACAACATATTTTTGTAACAAATTAAAATAATAGGCATTTTACAAAGGACAAAGAGATGGCTAACTTTTGTAATAGCTTTTCTGCAAATGTAAGAAGAAAAAAACTCCTTTCCCTTAATTAAAGATTCTGTTTTTTTATCCAGCCAATAAAGAGGAAATAATTATGCACATAAACTCATTAAAGAGCAATAGCTCACCAGGATTTGACAATGTAACAAGCAACTTGATAAAGGAGAATCATTTATATATTGCAGAATCTCTAACACACATATTCAACTTAATATTTTTAAACGGGAGAGTTCCAGATCACATCAAAAGAATAATAGTACCAATTTTTAAATCTGGTAATAAAAATAATATTACTTCAGACCACTTAGTTTAATAAGTGTTTGCTGAATTATTTGAGAAATCTGTAAAAAAGGCTATATAAATATCTAAACAAAAATAATACCATAAATGGCAAACAGTATGGGTTTCAAAGTGGGATTAGCACTAATGATGTTATGTTCGATTTAATAAATCAAATAAAAGAAACTCTAGACTGTAAAAACAAATGCATATGTGTATTTTTAGACCTGGGAAAAGCATTTGATACAGTCCATCCCAAAAAACTTGAAGTGCTTGTGCAATATGGAGTTAAAAGTTTTTGAGAATTACCTGGAGAACAGTGCTCAATATGTTAAAATTGTATGAAACCTTCAATTTAGTCTATGTTGATGCAGAAAATTCAAACTAAAAAACACTTTTTTTGTCACCTTTTTATTTGGTTAGTTGTCAGCATTTTTAGGAGCTGAAAAATACATTGAGTTCAGTTTAAATCGTGTTTTATTAAACATAAAATTATTTCACTATTAAGGGTTTATTTTTGCAGTTTAAAAATGAATAAAACACTTATTCAAACTGTTTATAAAATTTTGTATGCCATTCAATGAATCCTACGAGTCCTTGATTGTTTCGGCCCTTACTTGATGAAAATCCATATTGTTAAAATGAGAAAAACCAAACTTGGTAGATTTTCACTTCTTCAAATATGAAGAAGGTGTACTTCGAAACAATTGTCATGAGTAATTAAATTTAAATTTTTATTTTTTAAATAAAAGTGTTTGTGAAAATCCACCAAGTTGGTTCTTCTCATTTTAATCCTAAGAGTTTTAAATCCTTATTACAATAGCCTACATGTAAAATAATTGTTCGTTTTGGTATTGAAATAAATCCTTACCGCCCTAACAGTATTTAGGTATGGATTCTATTTCAGAATTATTAAAATAAACATGTACCTACGAATTTAAACTAGGAAACATTCTTCTATTATACTGTGCATATATTTGTTTAGGTTCAATTTTATCAAATTGTCATCACACCATGATTTATATCTTACAAGGTCTCTGCAATAATAAAAAAATGTCATACAAACTTTCTAGGTAGGTGGTTGTATTCTCTTTATCTTATCTTACTTCTAATACATTTTTTCTTATGGAAATATAATAATTTTTATACATAATTTGATATGATAATCTTTTTAATTTTTTTTATCCTATTTAGAACTTTTGAATTAATTCTTTAAATGAGAACAGTATATGGTTAAAACAAAATATTTCATCTGTTAAGACAACATATTATTTGATCTAGAAAACAATTTGTTCAATGTGGGGATAAATCGAGTGATAAGACAATTCTAGAGTTCTTCAGGGCTCGAATCTTGGTCTTTTTCTATTTAACATTTTAATAAAAAAATTGTATTCTAAACCTCAGTAGCTAGCCTTGCCTTGCCTTTATTATGAAATTTAGTTCTTAATAAAAAACATGTATTTTTGATAATAATGTATCTTTAAAAGAACCATCATATCTGACAACTGTTTTTAAATGATTAATTAATAAAAATATTTTTCAATTTGAATTTTATATTATCACATAAGAATTGTTTAGTTAAATTATACTGTTTTATTTCTCCAAGGTTGCCAAAAACAAGGTTGCTAAAAAAATGTAAGTGTACCTACCTATAATCAGTATAATTAACAATTAAATAAAAGTTATTATTAATATTAATAAGACATTATCATATGCAAGATACCTATGTGAAGAAATATTCCAAGAATCCCTAACTAACAATGAATGAATAAAATAATGTGTATTTATATACACAGGTGTGGATTAAAGTTTTTTTTAGCCATAATTTGGCTTTTAAGTAAACATTTCTTCTTTAGTTTATTGCCAAATAAATTTAAAATAGTATTATAATATTGAAAGAAATGTAGTTGGTGTCATACCAGTTTTTAACTGATCTGTATTTATAGGTACAAAAATCTATTAAAGACGATTGTAAATGATCTTTATTATACCTTTTCCAATTTACTGTAAAATAGATTAAGATTTCCATACTTGCATACCACTTCACACAAGTAAGAACTATTTTTAGAATGCAATAAATCAGTGGTATCAACCTGAACAAAGGTCATTAGGGCCACTAGAATTTGTGAAATTTAAAAAGAGATCAAAATGTACGACACAATGTATAAAAACAAAAATCATCGGATTTTGTGCGGAAAGGGGCACCTAGTCTATGAGAAAATATTTTGGGGCTGTCTGTAAGACAGATTTGACAGTTAAAAAGAGATAGAAATTTACGTCGTAAGGTATAAATCGATTTTTTACCAGTATTTTCTTCCTAAATGAACCAACCGGATAAAAGAAAATGTTTGGGGTCTTAGCAGCTTTAAAACAAGGATTTTTGGAGAAAAGGGCCAATATGCCGTAAGGTATAAGAATAAAACCAATGTATTTTTGTGTGGAAATGAATATTTAACCTAGACAAAATGTTCGAGGATTTGTGTCTGTAAGACATTTGAATACATAAATTACGTTAAAAGGTGAAAAAACGAAAAGAATAAGAAGGGGTTTTAAGTTCCGATTATTCTGAATCGGAAGTCTAAATAAACATGATGTTTTCTTTTTGTTTTTTAATTTTTTTTTGTTTATTTGTTTTTTTTTGTTTTTGTTTTTTTTGTCAAGTAACCCTTAATTTACATTTTATTTTCGTATGTTATGTACCTAGTGTACTGCTTAAATTTTCCTAGCGTTTCCATGATAGAAATTAGGTTTCTATAAAATAAATATCAAGAAG